AAAAAAAAATGGGAAAGGTAAAAATGTGGTCATTTTACAAAATGTGTTCATTTAGGGAGATTAAAGGTGGGCTTCAAATTTGAATTTCATTTCTACAAGTAAATAAATCAGAGCAGAAATTCATTACTTAATTTTCATTGACACTTAGGTCAATAAAAACGTTACATTGTGATTTCTTGTAGTTGATAAACTGGCTTTTGTTGTTATTGTTAATCTGTTTTGATTAAGATAAAACAAAGAATATGAGTCATAATAGTCCCATATTTAAAAAAAGAAGGCAAATGAACATCTTCTTTTGGATGTTTTAATTTTGAAATGGGAAGAGCATATTAGATTTTTGTATCCATATCACATTGTGTTTAAGAAATTTTTCTTTAAAAGGTCCCATTTCTAATCCTTGCACTCAGGAAGCTGAATTCAAGGCCAGTCTGAGCTACATAGTGAATTTAAGACCAGTCTGAACTACATGGCAAGACCCTGTCTCAAAATACATACATACACATATACGTACTCCCATTTCTGAAAACTAATTTTATTGTTTTCTTCCTACTATTTTCTCATATAGCAGTTTTAGTACTAGTTGTAATCACTAAAAATAAATCTTTACTAGGGCACCTTTTTTTTTGTTATCTATAGAATTCTGCCTGTGACTCTCTTTTTCAGGATATATGAGCTTCTCTAAGCAATCATATGTTACAGACCTATATGGTAGGCTAATGACCAATACATTCTCATTTCCAACATGATTTCTCCTAATCTTACACAAAATGTCCAACTGCTGAATTAATGGTTATCTCCAATTAGATGTCTACTATACCTCAGATATCACTTGTGTTTTTTTCATTTCTTTCACATTCAAATTGGTATTCAAGAGCTTCTCTTTTTATCTCATTGTAGTCATTAAAGGTATATAGTTGCAGGGCTGGGGATTTAGCTCAGTGGTTCTGCCTCCTGCCTTGCAAGCTCAACAAGGACCTGAGTTTGATCCCTGGTACCAAAAAGAAAAAGAAAAAAGGATTAAAGGTATATAGTTGCTATATTAGTGAATGAATGTAAACTGACAGAGTGCTGCTAATATGATGGTTGTTTGGTTTGTTTAGAAAATAATAGACAGTTTTTAACTAACATACTTTTGAACAGTATCTGAATGAGGTTTTGTTAGCATGCTCTGGGATGGATGACTTTAGATTGAATAGAAGTGTATTGTTACAGGGAACAGTGACATTCAAAGATGTGGCTATCGACTTCACTCAGGAAGAATGGAAGCAATTGGATCCTGCCCAAAGGAACCTGTACCGGAATGTGATGTTAGAAAACTATAACAATTTAATTACAGTGGGTAAGAGTAGTTTGCTGTATAATTCAATTTTAGAAATAAAGTACCTCCCCCCAAAACTGTTTCTGAAATACATGGAACTTTTAAATATTAGAATGAGTTTGGCCTTGAGGTGTCTTGGCTCATGTGATCATCCGTGATGTAGCTGTCAAAGCAGAAAGTCATCCTTTGTTATGTTTCAGCAGGCATCATTCCCAGAAACCACATTTTTTTGTCCTACAGAAAACCTGGTTTCCTTGGGCCAATTTTGAGGTTTTTTATTCCAGGTAAATATGCTTAAATCCCTGTCATTTTCCTTTGTTAGGCTATCCATTCACCAAACCTGATGTGATTTTCAAGTTGGAGCAAGAAGAAGACCCATGGGTGGTAGAGGAAGAAGTATTAAGGAAACACTGTCCAGGTTAGTTAGAGGGAACCTCACAGGTGAGGAGGGGGCAGGACCCTATTAATGTTTAATCAGGGAATGGTTGACCCACTGGAAATGTTCTCCAAAGGCAGTTTCCTAATGCCTGTACATGTTTGAAGCAACAGTTGGTGTGAATTCTTTATAAAAATAAGATGTCATTTTTCAATACTATTCTTAACTTCTTTTCTTGGAAATTAAAGGTTTTGTTGTCTTTCATACCTGGGAGTTAGGTATCAGCTTTTCCTAATGAATTTTCAACATTATTTCACTAATTATTCTATTATTAGCTTCCTCATTCTCTCTATCCACCCTTTTAATAGGATTCTTTTTGCACACATGAATGAATTTGCACTTCAAATTAACTTGACATTATAGTCCTTTATTTTCTACCTCTGTCCTTCCCTCTATTCTAATTGCCTTAGTATCATAGTCACACTTTCCACTGTATTTTTACCTTTGCTGTCATACTTCAATATTGACTACTACCCTTTTATTTCATTAAAGTTTTAAAGTAAGTGCTCATTTTCTATTAGCTTTGTCATATATATATATATGCACATGTATGTGTGATCTATGTGTGTATACATACATATGCAAGGATGCATATGTACATAACATGTATATACAAATACATACATATTTTATTTAATAGAGGGATTTTACCCTCCAAAAACAGTGTAATAATTTATATTTTTACCAAGTGTTTCTGCCAACAGTCTATTAGTATTTTTCAAAATCTTTGTAATGTGATAAGTGAAAAATAAATAAATAAATGTAGTTTGAATTTAAATTTCCTTCATTATGAGTGAAGGCAAGCATCTTTTCAGAGCTTTAAAATCTGTGTATATATATATATATATATTTTTTTTTTTTAATTTAGCATGCCAGGTCTTGGTTCTCATTTTTTCCCCTTAAAAATCTATATATTTTTTAATGACTGCCTTTTGCCTTCTTTTCTGTTAAGCTCTTAATTTGTATGAACTCTTGACACAACAGTGATTGGTCCTTGTTTTTCTTTTATTTTTCCAATCCTCTTTGAAGTAGTTTTTGCCACCATAGCTTTTTTTTTTAGTTTATGTATCTAAAAGTAATCTTTTCCCATAAGAAATTATCATTTCATCTTGTGCATATAGATGAATTACATTTATATATTTCTTAATGATTCATTTGCCATGAATATGAATAATTGTTTCAATTCTTTAAGGCTTTGATGTTAGTGTTACACTGGTTTCATAAGTAGAATTTGGCATCTTTCTTTCATGCTATTAAACATGTACACTGCAGTTGTATTTAAACTCCCCTCAACATTAGTAGAATTTACTTGTTGAACTATTTGGACCGAGTGGTTTTTTGAGGGTAATGTCTTTGACAACTCTTCATTTTTTCTTTTGCATCTGTCCTATGTTTTTTCCTCTTTTGGTATTAGTTTTGATAATAAGTTGTATTTTTCCAGAAAATTATCCACCTAATCCTAGTTTTCAAATGAATTTTCACAAAGTTGACAAAGCCATATCCATCAATATTTAAATTTCCTCTGCATCTCTAAGTTCACCACATATTAATGTTTCAGAGTCATTTGTTATATTTAATAATTTTTTCATGTTTTTTAAATTTGTTCGCACAAAATTATTTATTGTGTTATTTATGACTTTTATTATTTCTGCAGTATATTCAGCCAGCATCATCAATATCAGCTTTCCTCTATTCCTTTATATTCTATTTCTGAGATTCCTATTAGATGCTAGGCTTTCTCATTTTTCCTTCATACATTTTTGATTTCCTTCATCTTTGTTATTTGTTTTTGTTTTTGTTTTTGTTTTGTTTTGTTTTTGAGACAGGGTCTCACTATGAGACTGACCTTAGAACTCACTATGTAGCCCAGGCTGGTCTCAAACTCACAGCAATCCTCCTGCCTCAGCCTCCCAAGTGCTGGGATTACAGGCATGTGCCACCACGCCCAGCTCATCTTTCTTATTTTCTATCTCTGCCTCTCTGTTATTTTCTTTGTCATTACCTTAGTTATATATTTTAATTTATCAGTTCCTTCTTTAGCTATATTTATTTATCTGTTTAACTCATCCATTAAAAAGAACTTAGTAGTTGTGTTCTGTGTTTTTATAGTATCCTCCTTTTTTCCCTCTTTAGGTCTTGAAACCAAGTAATAATTTGTATAACTAGTAAGTTTAGTGCGTTTCTTTTCAGAGGACTTTATTTTTCAGGCAGACAAGTTTATTACTGACAAAATAGTATTAATTTTTCCTTTCCTTTCCAAGTTTTTATACATCTTTTACTTTTGATTTAATTGCACTAATAGTGTGATAATAGTGGTGATACTACTCATCTTTTCTTATTCTTGACTTAAATTGCTTTTGAATTTTTCCCATTTATTGTAGTGTTAGTATTTGGAATGCAGTATACTTTTCCCTCAAGAGTCTATGTAATCCCGTTTTATAAAGTTTTTAAAATGGGAAATGCTGAGTTTTAGTATCTTTTAACATCTATAGGCAACTTGATTTTTCATTATTGACCTAGTAATATATTTCCTTATAATAAAATATCTGGGATTGAAACATAGTTATATTCCTGGAAAGAAAATCCACTCAAGTATATATTTTATAATAATCTGCCTCTGAGTTATGTTTTTTTTTGTTGTTGTTGTTTTGTTTTTGGTACTGGGGATTGAACTTGGGCCCTTGTGCTTTCAAGGCAGGCAGCAGAACCACTGAGCCAAATCCCTCGCCCTGAGTTACTTTTTTTTGCTGGATCTTCTTGATATTTTACATGATTGCTAGTTTTTGTTAGTTTTGTTAGTTTTTGTAAATGAAATTGATATATAGATTTCTTTTTTTGTTTATCATCTTTGTCACATTTTGGTATTAATACTGTTTGACCCATAAAAATCAGGAAATCTCTTTTCTTTTGTAACATTTTGCACAGCATGGGAGTTGCCTCTAGATGTTTTAGAATTCTTATATGAATGAGTAAATTTTCTTTTTTGTTTTTAGGACGTTTTCTGCATCTCCTAGAGTTAGTTTTGGTAATGTAAATTTTCTAGTTATAGAATTCACAAGTGTTTATAGAAATATATTTCAGTAGAGTCCCAAGCAATGGTTTTTAGCTTCCTGTTTTTAATCTCTTTTCTATCATTTCATCATTTATACATTTTGCATGTTTCTTTATTACTTAACAGTTTGTTTTCTTTCAGATTTCACTGAAAAACAATCAAAACTATTTGTATTCATAAATACTTACCTCTACTCATATTTCCTTTCTTGGAATTTCTTCCTCAAAACTGAGGACATAGGCAATCAATGCACTTGAAAGTTGTTTAATAATGAGATATAAGGCTTTAAGTATCAGTCCCAGCAATTTTTCAATTTTTAAAATATTACAATGTTGGAAAAATTCACCAGATATTTATTTGCAATCTATTGTAGGAGAAATATGGGGAATTGATGATCATCAGAAAACCCAGGACAGATTTTTGAAACAAATTTTCAAGAAAACACTGACTGAAGAAGAAGCCAATGAATGTCACAAGAAATTCACAAATGTGTTTTCTCTGAATTCAGATTTTATTCCTTCCAGATATAATCTCTATGAATATGATTTGTTTCAAAACTATTTAGAACATAATTTTAACTGCCATAATAATGTGAAATGCCTTTTAAGAAAGGAATATTTTGAATATAATGGAGATATGAGATCATACGGCAATAGTTCATCCTCTCTTGCAGTAACCCCCTTTAAGTGTAATCATTGTGGAAGAGGTTTTAGTCAAACATTGGACCTTATCAGACACCTAAGAATTCATTCTGGAGAGAAACTTTATGAATGTAACCAATGTCGAAAAGCCTTCAGCCACAAGGAAAGGCTCATTAAACATCATAAAATTCATAGTAGGGAACAGTCTTATGAATGTAATGAATGTGGGAAGACTTTTATTAAAATGTCAAATCTTATTAGACATCAAAGAATTCATACCGGAGAGAAACCCTATGCATGTAATGAATGTGGGAAATCCTTCAGTCAGAAGTCAAATCTCATTGAACATGAAAAAATTCATACTGGAGAGAAACCTTATGAATGTAATGAGTGTGGAAAAGCCTTCAGCCAGAAGCAAAGCCTCATTGCACATCAGAAAGTTCACACTGGAGAGAAACCTTATGCTTGTAATGAATGTGGTAAAGCCTTCCCTCGAATTGCATCCCTTGCCCTTCATATGAGAAGTCACACAGGGGAAAAACCTTACAAATGTGATAAATGTGGAAAAGCCTTCTCTCAGTTTTCCATGCTCATTATACATGTGAGAATACATACAGGTGAGAAACCTTATGAATGCAGTGAGTGTGGAAAATCTTTCTCTCAAAGCTCAGCCCTTACTGTACACATGAGAAGTCACACTGGTGAGAAACCCTATGAATGTGAGGAATGTAGGAAAGCCTTCAGCCACAAGAAAAATTTCATTACACACCAGAAAATTCATACTAAAGAGAAACCTTACGAATGTAATGAATGTGGTAAAGCTTTTATTCAGATGTCAAATCTTGTTAGACACCAGAGAATTCATACTGGAGAAAAACCTTATATATGTAAGGAATGTGGCAAAGCTTTTAGCCAGAAATCAAATCTCATTGCTCATGAAAAAATTCATTCTGGAGAGAAGCCCTATGAATGTAATGAATGTGGCAAAGCCTTCAGCCAAAAACAGAATTTTATCACTCATCAGAAAGTTCATACTGGGGAGAAACCTTATGACTGTAATAAATGTGGTAAAGCCTTTTCTCAAATTGCATCCCTTACTCTTCATTTGAGAAGTCACACAGGAGAAAAGCCTTATGAATGTGATAAGTGTGGAAAAGCCTTCTCTCAGTGCTCACTGCTTAATTTACACATGAGAAGTCATACTGGTGAAAAGCCCTATGTATGTAATGAATGTGGAAAAGCCTTCTCTCAGAGAACTTCCCTTATAGTGCATATGAGAGGTCATACAGGTGAAAAACCCTATGAATGTAATAAATGTGGAAAAGCCTTCTCCCAGAGTTCCTCCCTTACCATACATATACGAGGTCATACAGGTGAGAAACCCTTTGACTGTAGTAAATGTGGAAAAGCCTTTTCTCAGATTTCATCTCTCACTCTTCATATGAGGAAACATACAGGTGAAAAGCCCTATAACTGTATTGAGTGTGGCAAAGCTTTCAGCCAAAAGTCACACCTTGTTAGACACCAGAGAATCCATACTCATCAGAAACAGTATTCATAGTGTGAGCATGAAAAGCCCCTCAAAGGAATTAGCACCTCATGGCACATTACATGATTGGTTCTAGAGCAGAAACCAGTGAATATGGGAAAGCCTTTTGAAGATGTTCACAAATTTATAAAACATTAGAGAATTATTACCAAGGTGAACAGTTTTGTGAAAAATCTTCAGTAGATAACCTTACTCATAGATGGTATTTAATATTCTCAAATCTGAAAGAAGATAACTGCTATTTGCTTTTCAACATACTATTCAAGCACCCAGCTAATATATTAAACAAGACAAAAGAAGATTGAGAAAAGAATGATACGATAGTCTTTTATATAAGAAATAGCTAATTAAGATGTGCTGAAAGAAAATATATATGAATAAACACAACAGTGAATTATGAAACATTTATATCTATAAAGATACAGAATATGTTGAAGGACCCAAAAGAACACCTGAAAAATTGAGAGAAATGCAATTATTCCGGAAAGACTTGACATTGTATAAATATGTTCTCTCCAAAATCTTTAATGTACTTCCACTCATAATTTATGCCTGTTATGTTTGACTTTCACAAACTGCTTTAGGATATATGAGAAGTTAAAGGACCCCAAATAGCTGAAACAAATTTGACAAAGCAAAACAACTAGAGAAGACACACTGTTATCATTACATACTTCATTTAGAGCTGTTGTCATTCAAACTATCATTCAGTGACTATAATCAGTGTAAAAAAAAAAAGATTGGTAGAACAATCCAAGAAGATATGAGAATTTCGTGTATGATAATGCTATTGAAATCAATTGGGATAAAAATGGGCTACTTACCAAGTGGAAGATCCACATGAGCAAAAAAGTTTGCTTTCTACCTTAGAGTGTATACAAAACCCCAAATAGATTGAAGATCAGAATATAAAATTAAAATTCCAAAACTGTTAAAAATATATTATACTACTTCAAAGTAACAGGAATTTCTTTAAAACAAATAACAGTTCAGTTTTGGTTTATTGCCCTCAAAAGTATGCACGTGTATGCACAAAAATATGTCTGTCACTATGTTCACTATATGGCTTTTGCCCTATATTGGAATATAACAAGTTTTTATCAATAGAGGGATAGATCAATACTGTATGTTTATATGTACAACAGATTATTTAGAAGATACAAAATTCACATATAGTTACATGGATCGATATATGGAGAGGAAAAAAGCAAAATTCACAATGAAATGTTCAGTAGAACAGTGTGAACAACAGCATATAGGTTGCCTTTGAAGATATGAAAAGGTTTGATGTGAATTGTTACATTAATCCGTAATATTTCATAATAAAAGAATGAAAGCAAATACTAGTGTTTAACAAGTCTCTTTGTCCAAATTAGTTATGTGAGGTAAAATTACTTTGTCTTTATTTTCCCAATATTTCTAGAACAATAGTCAAATGGAGGAAACATGGGCCTATAGATCCAATTTTAAAATGGAGTTTTTGATCAGCAAATTAATATTAATAGGAAATTCTCTTGACACAAAACAAGACTCTTGCCAAACATGGTGGCTCACTCCTGCAATCCCAGCACTCAGGAGGCTGAGGCAGGAGAACTGCCATGAGTTCAAGGCCAGTCTAAACTACATAGCAAGACCCTGTTTAAAAAAAAAACTAAAACAAAACAAAAAATCGTTTTTAAACTCTTCACAATATTAATTGAAATAATAAAAATCAGTAGGGGGCTGGGAATTTAGCTCAGTGGTTCTGCTGCCTGCCTTGCAAGCACAAGGTCCCAAGTTTGATACCCAGTGCCTCCCCCATCAAAAATCAATAGGGGATACCATTTGAGACTAGCTTTAAAATTTTTTAAATAATCTTGTCTTAAACATAAGTTTCTCCCCTCATTGAAACCTGAAGAGGTAAAAGAATTATTTAATTTTGAGGATAGTTATCTCTGCATTTGGAAAAAATGCACCTACATTATGTTGGTGTCAGTATGAGGGAAAGAGATCATTAATACATACCATAAATGTGGTTAATGTTCTAATATGGACATAAGACCAGCATCAGACCAGAAGCGTTTTCAGCATAGCTTTCTTTGGTTTCTAGATTCACCTTGCTAGAGGGAACAGAGTATCCCAGAGGAGATGTCCTGTCCCCTAGACAACTTGCGGGGGGCTCAAATTTGAAGAGATTCTAGCTGGAAATGTGGCCTGGTTTAGCAATGGTTCTGAGAAACAGAAAGCTGATGGATTCTACTAGGCCACAGGGGCCCTGTGCCCCTTGAGTAGCACCTCTAACCAAAATGGTAAGGACACCCCACTAAATGCACTGAATTACCTGCAGTGGTGATGGCTGTTCAAGTCACACCACCTGACATGCCTTGTTACTTGGCAAATGGCCTGGACATTTGGTCAGGAGACTAGTAACAAAATTATTGGAATGTATGATTTTTGGGTTTTTTTTTTCTTTTGAGACAGGGTCTCTCTCTGTAGTTGAGACTGACCTGGAACTCACTGTGTAGTCCAGGCTGGTCTCGAACTTACAACAATCCTCCTGTCTCAGCCTCCCGAGTGCTGGGATTACAGGCATGCACCACCACCCCTGGCCAAAATTATTGGATTGTAAAGGAGTCCCTTGAGTGTTAGCTTTGCATTTCTACAATAAAATACCTAACATAAGCTACTTCAGAAGAAAAATACCTCTTCTTTTCTCTCATGTGGAAGCTTAAAAAAAACAAAAACCAGACAGTGTGAAAGTAGAAGAAACAGTTGTGTGAGAACAGGAAGGGGATTAAAGAAAGAATAATGGCATGGAAATTAATAAGGTATTTTATATGTATGTACAAATATGCCAAATGAAAACCACTATTCTATGTAATATGCACTAATTAAAATATGCACAAATACATCTATACCATATTTGCAAGACCAAGAGGAAAAAGCTGTATCCTTTTCATAAAAATAGATCCTATTTTATTGGTTGCATATCTACTTTCAACATTTTTGTGAAAATTTTCAAACAAGGGAAGCAATGAGCAAGCACAATAATCATCACCCATGATAATGTCCTATTTGAACTGTGTATTTTTTCAGGACTTCTCTCAATAACAGTTATGATAACATTTCAGTCCTTATTAGTTGAGGCTACATCTCCAAAGAAATAGTACCTGGCAAAATGGCACTCTGGAAAGCAGGAGGATCAAAGTTCAAGCTCTGTCTGAATAATTTAGCAGAATAAAGAATTGTGAGGGCTGTGAAAACAATAATGAAAATGTCTGTCTCCTTGGAAGAGGTTGACTTTCTTTCTCCCAGTGATGAAGGAGATCCTTGAGAGATCACTATGTCAGGACAATCCACGATGCAGGGATAGTCTCTCATGGTGTTAGGCCTTAGCTGTAGAACTGGGTAATAGGCAAATGTGTGAAGAATTTGGACAAGCAGTTTAGTACTGCCACAAATGAAGCATTAAGGGCAATTCTGGTGAGTGTAAGAAGAGGAAACTTTAGAGAAAGCCTAAATCTTAGAGGTTACCTAGATGTTCATATACAGAATGTTGGTAGAAATATGGACAGTAAAGTCCATTCTGATGAGATCTCAGAAATGGGAAATAACTTACTGCAAACCAGAGAAACACCCATTCTTGTTATAAAATAGCCATAGCAAAGAATTTGGCTGAATTGTGTTCCTGCAGATGGGCTTTGTGGAGGGAGAATTTAAGAGCAACAAAATGGGAATTCTGGCAGAAGAAAAATGTAAGCATCACAATACTAAATGGTGTTATGGTTTAGATCTAAAATATTCTCTAAAAGCTTCACATTTGAGGTCAGGTCTGATTGGAAGGGGTAGGTCACACAATGGGGGTAACTTGGAAGGGTGTGTTCTTGTTCTCAGCTCCTCCTTCCTTTCTGTTTCCTGGATCGCCTGGGTTAAGTACCTTTTCCTGCACCACGCTCCTCTGCCATGCTGTTTCTGCCTTGAAGGCAGTCAACCGCGGACTGAAACCATGAGCCAAGAAAACCTTTCCTTTAAGTTATAGTAGTTGGGTGTTCTGTCCTAGTGATAGGAAAGCAACAAGACACCTGGTGTTTCTTTTCTGACTATAATGAAAATGTGAGAAGAGGAACAATTGAAAGATGGAATTTTAAATTAAAAGGGAAGCAGAACATAAAGATTTAGAAACTAAAGGCATGTGAAGGAACAGTGTGACTGGGAGCAAGAACATGGCCATCTGACTATTTTATAAGGAGATTACTATGGACAGAAGGCAGCCAAGTACTATTCATCAATGCTTGGGAAGCAGTAAGTTCTGTCTTTTCTGAAAAATGGAGTGGCTCTATCTTATACTCTAGCACATCCTAGATATCCCTCCTGGTATATACTAAGTTTCAGAAAATGCCCATTCAGATCCAATCAGGGGAACACAGCTACAAACCAAAGATAGCTTATCATGGGCCAAGGATTTTTCTGTTTTCCATATCCCCCTCTGCTCTCCCTTCCCCTCAGGAATCCCTCAGATTTCCAACAAAGGCAATGGTAGAATGAACCCAAAGGCATTTCAGAGATTTTTAAGCCTGCCATACCCATCACAGGCCTAGAGTACCGGGGCCTAGGCAGCGGTGGCAAACCTTTTACAGGTTTCAATGATATAAACAGCCTTATGCAGCACACATGTTGTAGGTTCACCATTTCTGGCCTAGAGGGTGGAAAGAAGAGGTTAGAATTTCATGAGACCTCAGGGATTTCTTCCTGCAAACATCTTAAGTCTCTGCTCCCTGCATTCTAGTGCAACACTCCTTTATTGGCCTGTGGTGGCCCAAGTGGGCCCAGGTGTGGCTCAGGCCACTTCTCCAGAGGGTACAAGTGCCCAGTAGGCCCTGCATCTTCAAATTCTGCACCATCTCCCAATACCTCCACCATAGGGACCAATGTTTGTGTTCTTTCCAAAATTCATAGGTTAAAACCTTAATCCACAAAGTGGTAGTATTAAGAAGTGGAAGCTGGCTGTGGTGGCACACATCTGAAATCTCAGCCTCTGGGAGGCTCAGGCAGGAAGATTACAAGTTTGAGCCCAGGCTGAGCCACTTAGCAACATAGTGAAAGCCTGTTTCAAAAAATTTAAAAAATGGAGTGGCCTGGGAATGTAGTTCAATGTGAAAACTCTGGGTTCAATCCACAATACCACTAAAAAAAAAAGTGGAAGCCTTTGAGAGGTCTCATGGACTTTCATAGATGGGATTTGAGCCCATATAAAAAAGCTCAGTGTTGAAAGCATTTTTTTCTTGACCCTCTGCCATGTGGGTCCATAGCAAGGAAGCTCTCATCAGATGCTAGTTATCTTGATCTTAAGGCTTTCCAAACTCTAAAACTGTAAGGAAATAAATGTATACTCTTTATGAATTATCTAGTTTCAGGTAGCAGCACAAAAATGAACTAAGCACTCAAGATATAGAGGGCCTTTTAAACATGAATCAAAACTGAGAAGCCTTAAAAGACTCAATGCAGGTCAAGGAATTTAGCTCAGTGGTGCTGTTGCCTGCCTCACAAGCGCAAGGACCCAAGTTCAATCCCCAGTCCAAAAAAAAAAAAAAAGACTCAGTACATTAGCATGATGGTTAAATTTTGTTATTAACTTGACTTTGGTTATCAAATTGGTAAAGCACCTTTCAGCCCAGAGCACCAGAGGAGCCCAGCTGCACAGGCGCCAACACAATGGTGCCCATTCCCCCCAACCTCTGCCCCCATGAACAAGATACAGAGAGCCT